ACGAGGATCCAGGTTTTATTCTCCAGAAGTGAGTCATACTCAGCTTTCTCAGCAGCTTGCCACTTGGATGCTTCAGGCGAATGCATGGCTTCCCTATGGGTATTTGGTAAGCCCGCCTTATACTGAGCAGCAGCGAGAAAAGCGAGTAGAGTCTCTGCTTGTTCGTGTTGAGTACCATCCATGTTTGTATGTGCATCAACCCGAGCAGGGGGTTCATTACCATACATACTGTCCCCATAGCACTTAGGCGGTCTGACCTCATGATGAGGCTTATCGTGCGCAATGCTAGGACCTCCCACTGGCTCATAACGGCGGCACATGTGGGCAGGACACAGAGGGGGAACAGGCGGAGGTGTGGGTAGATATTCAGGTTCAGCAGGGGCTTCTGGCTCTGGAGCTGGAGGAGCGGGTGAAGGAGCAGGAGCAATTGGAGGTTCAAGAATCTCAGGCTGAGGCTCAGGAGGTTGGACAGGAAGAGGAGGAAGCACATCGTCATCAGCGTTCAAGGCTTCATCAGACGGCTCGGTGTACTCTAGGAATGGACTATCATCCGGGGTAACAGGATGATCGCCAGGGGTTTTACGTGCAGGGAAAGACTCCTCGTCAAATGTCACATCGCGAGACACGATGATAGAGCGGGTGGCTGGGTTCTAAAATTTGTACCGCTTTTAACCAGCTTCATACCCCACAAAGGTCATCTCAACAGCCTTCTTGTCAAGCTTTCTACCACGCTCTGACTTCTGCACGTGAACATATACTTTGCACCCAAAAACGCGGAAGTAGGACACATCGGGGATGGTCCCATTCCAGACCGTAATGGGGCAGCGCCATTTAAGGCGACGCATGGGCTGACAATTGTAGATATGGATGGCTGCTTCCATAGCGAGCTGCCAGAAACCGTGGCTGAGTCCAGCTTAATGGAGCATGGACATGGCCTTCTCGACGATGGTACGGTTCCAGCGTTCTGCACGTCCATTCTGCTGAGGCGACATGGGCATAGTCTTATGGTGCTCGATCCCATGTTTGCGAAGATGATCGGTGAATTTCTTTAAGGTGCATTCCCCCCCGCAATAAGAACAGACTCGCTTAATCTTCTTGCCAGTCTGGTTCTCAGCCCACGCTTTGTAGTTGTCAAATGCACGGAAAGTGTCAGACTTGTGCTTAAGGTAGTAGGCATGAGCAAGACCGGAGTAATTGTCAATAAAACCAGTGAAGTACGAGTAACCGTTGATTGAGCAGGTATGCATGGGGCCATCCAGATCAGTGTGGACAAGCTCAAGGGGCTCAGTCGCACGCTTCTCTGAAGGAGGGAAGGAAGAGCAATGGGATTTGCCAAAGGCGCATCCATCACATGGTTCACTGTCCGCAGGGTCAATAGCATCAACACCCTTTACGTTCAAAGGAAGCTTGGAAAGAGCCTCCTTGTCTGCATGTCTGAAGCAACGGTGCCAGGTCTTATAGGTGTGAACGTTGAGGTGGAGCTTAAGACTGTCTGTGATCTTGAGTATACACTCATAGAGATTGGTGCATGGGTTGTGGTGTGCCTCCAGGATCTTATGTCCTGTGATTGTAACCATAGCACCATGAGCAACAGAGCCCTTAGGCAGCCTGTTGAAGATGGTCATCTTCCCATCTCCTTGGAAGATGGAATAACCTTGCTGCTCAATGATACCAGTGCAGAAGAGTCGCGAGGCCACTTTAGGGACATAGCAGACATTAGGTAGTGTTATCTTCCACTTGACACCATCGATGTACATCTCAGCTTCAATGGTACCCTCGCCAACACCAAGTACAGAGCTCCCACTTCCAGCAGTGCTGAAGACAACGGGGTCGGTATACTTGTGATATGTAGTGAAATCTGCGAGGTTCCAGGTGACATGCTGAGAGGCTCCTGAATCCATAAGCCAACAAGTAGGAATCACGCCAGCAGCATTAGCCGCACGATAGAAAGAAGCGTGCATTGAGGTGTCCTCAGAGGAGGAGGTGCCTGTGGACTCGACTACAAGTACATTGGCAGTGGGAGCGACGACCTGAGCAGTATTGGTAGTGTCCTTTTCCTTCCCCTTGTTCTTCTTCTTCCCACCATTGCCCTTGCCTTTGGGACATAGTTCAGGGTGCTTCTTGTAGCAAGTGGACTCATGGTGAGTTGCACTACCACAGTGGGTGCAAGGACCCTTCGGCTTAGGCTGCATCTTGGAGATGTGGGAGGCGGACTGTCTGGACTTGCGCATGGACTCCTCAGCGAGGGACTTCGCGAGGATGATGTCAACGGTGAGATTCTCAAGTTTCATCATTGCCATAAGCGCAGAGATCATGGACCGGTAGGACTCCGGGACCTTGGACAGGAGGATGAGGGCCTGGATTGTCTCCTTGAGCTTGATCCCATTGGAGGAGATCTCACGGAGGTGGGTGACAATCTTGCTCGACTGGTCCTGAATGGACTTCTGGTCCGACATACAACCTTCACTGATGAAGGCTTTAAAGAGGCCCCAGACGTGTGCGCTGTTCAGTTTCCCAAACTTGGCTTGCAGCACATCCCACATCTGCTTGGCAGTAGCAGTTGCACCATTAGTGGATGCGGCGGAATCCAGGATGTAGTGGAAGCTAGGCATGGTTTGTATGTAGATGAGACCAGCAGCCTTATTGTTTTGCTTCCTCCACTCCTTAGTGGCTTCTGCATTAGCAGCGGCAGGTGGAGAGCCTGAGATGGCATCCTAGCAGTTGGCAAACATGAGGTAACCCTTTATCTTCGCAGCCCAGTCCGCATACTGAGTGGCGGAAGAGAGAGAAGGAACAGATTCTGGTTTGATGTCCCCCATGACGAGGAGAAAGAATTCGGGGGAATCAGTGAAGTCTTTGCTGAAGTCTAAATCAAATGGAGTTGGAGAGGGCGAGAGCAAAGAGACTTCAGAATCTGGTAGCGGAACAGTTGTAGGAGATGGGGAGCAGACTGAGGGAGCGGAACACGATGTGCAACTTGATCTGGATGAGTAGGAACAGCCCAGTCAGGAATGCGCCTTGGTCGAGTATTACAATTTGGGCAGGGCTGTACAAAGCACGGACAATAGAGGCCACGATCCTGGTAGTAGTGATAGTCTTCCTCTTCAGCTGGGTCGTATACGTGGTTTAGATTAGAACAGTCGTCAAGGCCATGGGAGGAGTCAGAAGAGGAGCTGTTAAGGTCTGCATCAACTTCTTCCTTGGAATCTAGAACCAGGGGTTCCACAGTTGTGGGCTCCAAAGTGGTTCAGGGAAGCGCAATGATTGACTTGCTGTGTGCATGGAAAGAGAGATATGAACACCTGTTCAGGTGCACCAGGAATCCAGGCAGCCAATATGCCCAAAGACCCAGGTAGAAGTTGCCAACTGTGCCCAAGAAAGCTAGTAGGTACGTATGGCTATCTGACGCAAAAGCTATAGTAAGGAGGGTTCAAACGGTTGTCCTCTGGTCCAAAGCTCAGAATGAGCCCGGCTACGACAACTGGCAGCTGCAAGTGCAGGGCCTGGTTGAAGTATATGTGAAGAAAGGCCGGACTACAAAAGGCCTGTGTAGCTAGGTGCCTGCAAGTACGTAGGGCTAGTAAAAGCACTCAGGGCTGCGTCACAAGCGCAGAAATGTCCCCCTGGTAGCAGTGTTGGCGGGCACAGTCAAGAGGTTAGGAAGATGAAGGAGGGTGTGCACAAACCAGCGAGGTTGACGAAGCAAGGGTGTGCGCACGGTGTTGACAATAAGGAGCAACCGGTTAGAGTGCAAGGCTCATAACCTAATGAACTCTGAACCTGGAAGGCTGTAAGCCGCACAAAGAGAGGTCTTCAGTCTGTGAGAGAACGACTATGATTGCATAGTACTGTACCTGCAAGCCGCACAAAGAGAGGCTACAAGTACTAGTAAGTAAACATGTAGGAACACATAGGTAACATGGGACTTACTCTTCAGTCTGTGAGAGAATGACTGAAGAGCAGGGGCCTGCAGAGTCCTCCTTATATACTACTGAGGAAGGACGATGAATAAGCATAAACAAGAGATCATATGACCGTCCAGAGGATGCTGACTGAGTGAGGAGGGATGCTGACTGAGTGAAGGTAGGACGATGAGTAAGAATGAGGCATGTAATGTCCATGGATGAGTAACACTAAGCTCCAGACAGGTCTAGAATAGTCAGGAGCATCGTAGAATGTACCAGAACCATAGGTAGGGATGGCAGGATGCCAAGTAAGTACAGAACAAAAAAATGTACGTATATGGTAAGTAGGAAAGTCCATACCGGTGTATCATAGACGCACGGCCACTAGCACTGCCACTCCCGGTCCGGCTCAGCTGTAGACACGGAAGTTCAACACATCTCAGCCCAAGGACCATCATTTTCCAACACAACAATGACCCGAAGCACAAGTCTCACCTTGTTCAAGAGTGGCTTGAAAAGCAAAACATCCTTGTTCTTCCTTGGCCATCCTCCTCCCCTGACTTCAACATTATTGAAAACATTTGGGCACACATCAAGAGGCGTCTCAAGGGGTATTGACCCCATCCGCGCAATGTAGAGGCATTATGGCAGGTTGTACAGAAGTTGTGGCACAAGATTGATATCTCCTTCATTCAGGTGCTTTATCATTCCATGCCTGGGTGGGTGAAGACAGTGAAGGGGAGGAAGGGTCATAATGGGGATTCATAGAGTTGTTGTGTTTTTTTCCCTCTGGAATAGTCATTCATTTGATGTGTTTCTAAAGATATCCAACAATTATAGCACATTACTTTGCAAAACTAAATCACCAGCCATTGGAATTCACTATACAGAAATAAGAGAAGATGTACTACATTTACCAAGAATTAGTGTTGGAAGCAAGCCACATTTGTGTGAGCTACAGGGTGTTTTCTCCAAAGATGGCAAGTGGTGCGTTGTTTTTGGCCGTGATTGTACGATTTAGAAAGAATGAAAACGGGAGAGGTGATGTTCCAGGCGCGCAGACGCTGTACTTGATCCACGGCGCGAGAGCAAAAAGGGCCCAACCGGGATTCGAACCCGGGATCCCTTGCACTCGGAACACCCAAAGCAAGTATCTTACCTCTAGACCATTGGGCCGTTATACGGGGTTTTTGTACAAAGTATATATCCAGAAATCTAGTGACTCGGGAACGACGTCATAGTGGCTGCTCCTCCTCCTCGTCCTCCTCCTCGTCCTCCTCCTCAGTTGCCGCCTCCTTCAATTCCGCAACATCCAGTCGCTCCGCTCACAACCCACACTGCTCTCGCCATGTCCTCCCGAGCGCCCCCGTGCCAGCCTACCCACCCGCCGCTCAGCTCCCATCGACCATCCAATCCCAGCCCTCCGCCGTGCCCGCGATGCACGCCCACCCAGCGAAGGAGAACGCGCAATACGGACGGGCACAACGTCTCCGCGGAGGGTGCGTCCCTTGCCCGGTCAGTCTGCTCGTTCCCCACTTGCGCCTCCAGTCGCTTACCGTTCTCAGGACGGGAGCATTTGCTATATCATTCCCATCCCCTGCATCTGCTGCTAAGCACTTTGTGCTACAGCGATAGCCATCCGATGGCGGCGCGGCTCGTGCCCGAGTGGCCGAAGGAACGGATACCCGTACAGCGTAGTAGACATACGTTCGCACCCGGACTTTTGTATCGTTGGACTGGATTCTGTATCACCACGTCTTGAAATCCATCCAGACTTGTTCACCCATCGAGGCGAGCTCACCTGCGCCTGCCCCGCTCGGCGCTCGGCACCGCGTGGTTGTCGCCACGACTTGTCTCTCTCCTCCGCCCGCCGACCTGCATGTCCTCGCTACGTTCGTGCTCATCGCCGTGATACTCATAGCCAGTCCACCAACCGGCCTGTTCCAACCGACGGCTATGGACAAATTCGCCACGCTCGAGCCCGTGCGGCTGTACAACCCCACCGCGACTCCTCCTCCTCCTCCCTCTTCCTCCAATCCGTTCTCGCTCCACAGGCCGACCGTCGCGCCCCCCATTCGCCGTGCTAACGCGCCCGCCCCCTTCCAACTCATCGGCCGCCTCCCGGTCGACGTCCACATCCTCGTCCTCACCCACCTCGCCGTTCCGGACATCCCCGCCTATGCCCGCTGCTCCCGCGCGCTCGCCAACCTCGCCCGGGACGAACGCGTCTGGGAGGCCCGCTGGAACGCCTTCGCCGTCGAGCGCAACAAGCTCGCCGACGTCCTCGACGCCCTCGAGGACAAGCTCAAGGTTCAGAACGCGCTCGACCGCGGACACGCCCCGCCCACGCTCGCTACGGAGAGCCTCGACGACGACTTTGGCGACTTTGCCTCCGTCGACACCCACCCCGCCCAGCTCGGCGACTTCGTCGGCGGCTTCAGCTTCTCTACCCCCGCCGTCCCGACGTTCGGCCAAGGTCAGCAGACGTTTCGCGCGCAATACATACGCGCCCATGCGCTCCTCAAGCCCCTCCTCTCCGCCCTTTCCGCCCCTCCCCACGCGGTGCTCTCCAGCCTCTTTCCCTCTCCCACCCCGCCCCTTCGCGACCAGGCCCATACGCTCCGCCTCCTCTCCCGCTTCCTTTCCCAAGACGTCAAGCCCTTGCGCGACTGGGCAAAGCTCGCCTCTGCGCTGCGCGCCGCCATCGACCGCTTCGAGGACGGCCTGCTCACCGCGTTCGATGTCGCGGACGGCAAGGGAGACGAGCGCGGCATGCGCGAGGCCGCCGAAGCCAGCTGGGAGGTATGGGAAGGTCCGGGCGCGGAGTGGGAGCTAGGAAAGGTCTGGGCAGAGAAGCTAGAAATCTTCTACGAGCAGAGCAGATGGAAACCACTCGACAACTTCACGTCCGTATCTCCCTCACCACCCCGTCCTCGTCTGACATTTTCCCCAGGAACGATGCAGAGCTGGACTTTACCGCCATGGATGGCTTCCTTGCTGACATCCTGAGCGCGCTCGAGGAGCACGGCGCCCGCGCCGTGCGCGTATTTCCCTCGGACGCAAACGTTCTCATCTCGTTCGCGGACCGCTTAGCGAACGAAGTGGTAAGTCCCTCCAATTCCACCTCTGGCAGCTTTCTGACGCCCTCTAGGTAGGAGAGTACATCTCCTCCCTACTTACGCGCGCGCGCGAGATCTCGAATGAAGTCTTCCTCAAGGCGACCGCTGCGAGCTTCAAGGAGGCCTGGCGGATGGTCGACACCATCGTGCAAGTCGCCGCCGCCAAGGACTCGGATTTCCCCAAGACCAAGGCCGAGGACGTCGTGTACGTCCGTGCTGCACTTTCACTCGTGCTGCTTGCTAAACCGCCGCAGGTACCGGATGTTCGAGCCGAACATGGATGAATATCTCGACGAAGAGGTCGAGTTCGTCAAGCAAAGCTTTGAGATGACCTGCCGGTCATGGGAGAAACAGGTGCGCTCCCATTCATCTTTCTCCTACGTCTTCTAAACCGCCTTAGCTGTCCGAGCACGCCCTACCTACAGACACCACCCCCAACGCCGAGACCGCGCGTTTCCTCGGCTCGCACAACCCCGCGCAGGTCAAACGCACAGTTCTCGCGTCCTTCACCGACGTCCTCCTCCTCCCCGTCACCATCGTCCCGCGGACAGTCGGCAAGGCCGTCGGCGCGGCGCTCACGACCGGCGGCAGCGCCGCCGTCCAAGGGATCTCGATGCTCAATCCCCAGCGCTGGGGCGGGACCGGGACCTCCGGGAACGGCAGCGCCGGCGGGGGCGGAGGCGGCTTCCCGTTCGCGCGCATGTCCTCGTGGAGCGCGAACGGGAAGGACGGTTACGTGCGCGACTTCGAAAAGGGCGGGGACGGAATGTTATTCGACATTGGCGCGGACGAGGACGAGGAGCCCGACGCGACGAACGAGAAAGCCGACAATGTCGCGGCGCCGGAAGCGACGCCGACGAATACCGCTCGCTGTAAGTGCGCCCCTTGTAGCGGCCGATCATTCTCTGACCACCCGCAGCCTCCATAGCGGCCCGCGACTCGCTTAGTAGTATGACGTCTCTTGATTCCACCAAAACGAATCCCAAACCTCCCGGCCTCGACAACCTCGACTTGTTGCTTTCACTTGATACGGCCCTCGAGCTGATCCACGCCGACCGCGAGTCTCTCAAGCGCGCAGAGACCTTCTCAGGCTACCCAGGCACGTACGGACACCGCGTCCGCGACACAATCGAGGAGATTTTCGTCCTCCTCCTTCAGGCCCTCGGCGAGCGCCACATCAAGCCCGGATTCGACACGTACGTACTCTTATACCGTTCGCGCCACGCGAGGAGCTGACGTTTTATCAGCGCGATCGAGTCGATGAAGTCGTACAAGCCCGCGGAGCACGAGGAGACGAAGAGCGTCGCCCCGCTCCTCCAGTTCTTCGAGCTCGTCCACATCGGCGACACCATGCAGTCCATGATTCAGGTTTACTTTGACAAGGAACTGGTGAGCACTCCCCAAACTCTTGCGGCCGTTCGTCCACAACTGTGTTCCTATCCACAGGCGCCGCATATTGACCGCCACGACTTTCTCAACACGGTCGTGCGAGAGAAGAAGCACTTTGAAGACGTCCTCGACGACTGCGTCGCAGGCGGTTTGAACGCCGCGACGGACGCGCTCATGAACCAGGTACTACAACCTGATAAGTTCCCAGCGCGGGCGATCTAACCCGTTCGCAGGTCGAACACATAATACAGAAGCTGACCAAACCGCGCGAGTACTATCCGCCTGAAGACAGTCCGTTAGAACTCGGGCCTACGGAGGGATGCCGTGAGGCGATCAAGTGCTTGCAGATGCACTGCCAACTCCTCCGAGGCAGCACGAGCAAGGAAGTGCTAGAGGTGTTCTACCAGGAGGTCGGCATCCGCCTCATTGCGTACGTGACCCTATCCCGCAACCTTTGTGCCACCATGCCGCTTACGCATTGCGGGCAGCATACTGCAAAAGCACCTCAAGCGGCAGATTATCTCCCTCAGCGGCGGGTTCCAGGTGATCGCGGACCTGAACGCGTACCACGCATTCATCACTTCACTTCGCGTCCCGACAATCACCGCCGAGTTTGCGTACCTGAAGATGCTCGGGCACGTCTACGTGGTAGAAGACGCCAAAGACCTCGCGCAAATCGTGCGGGACGTGACGCGATACGGCGGCGCGTACCGACCGGAGGTAGTACCTACGCCGTTGGGAGCGATGGGCCAATGTGCTGACACGTTCCGCAGGACATCTACGAATTTATTCAGAGGCGGTCAGACTGGAAGAAGATCGAGAAGACGGTGGACAAGACGATGTACAACCTGAGCTTCAAGGAGGACTGCGTTCTCTGTTGACCTGCGGGACGGGCGAGCCGCGTTAGGCGTGCTCGTGACGTCACGTTACTCCGGCGCAGCTCTTAAGCCGCCCTCGTCCTCGTCCCGCCCTTGCTCTCCCGCCGCCATCTGCCTCTCCTCTGCCCTCGCCCAGCCCCCGCGCCCCCTGCCAGCCTCATCCACACACATCCACCACTCCGCCCATGTCGATCCCCGAGTTTTCCCTCCGTCTCCAGCGCGGTACGTCCCCCCATCCGAGCGCGCCGCGATAACGGCCGACTGACCTCGCCAGGCATCACCGGCGGGTTCGCGCCCCCGACGCCCGAGGCGATCATCACCGTGACGAGCGTGCCGACGCAGAACCTGCTCAACATCACCAGCGCCGTGCGCCCCAAGGGCACACCCTCGCTGCAGGACGCGCTCCCAAGGTCCCTCCCCGCCTCGGACGCGGACACGGTCGCGCTCGTCTCCGAGCTCCGCGACATCCTCCGCGCCATCCCGACCGAGAGCCCGCCCGGGAGCGAGGACATCTACGGGCTCGACACGAGCATCGCCTTTGGCTCCGACGACTTCTTCTGGCAGAACGGCGGGCCCCAGGGCTGTGGCCAGGGCGAGAGCGAGGTGAAGCCGACGGAGGAGGACAAGGCAAAGTTCAAACGGGCGGTAGAGATCGTTGAGGAATTGCAGGCCAAGAGCACGTAGCTTCGTGCAGATCGGCGTGATACCACACTTGTATATCAGGCATATGTATCGCGGGAACATTGGGACACGGAACAATCGCAATGCATGACAGCAACACAGTGCTCAG